CTCCTCCTCCTCCTCCTCCTCGAGTGGCGAAGAAGGTCTGTGCCGCCCACACACTCTCTGACCGCCTCCGCGCCCTTCAGCACCCGGAAGCCGACCACGACCATGCCCGGCAGCCGCAGCGGCGGCCCGGCGGCGCCGCCCGGCCGGCTAGCCGGCTAGCCGGCAAACTCCGCCGCCAGCGCGGCGCGGGCCGCGAGCGCCGGCTCTTCGCCGAGCGCAGTCCGCAGCTGGCGTGCGGTAGCGCGGTGGAGAGCCACGCTCAGTTCGGCTCCCCAGCGCCGCGCCATCGCGCTCGCGGCCGCTTCGCTTCGGCCTCGGGGCCGTCGCCCAGGCCCTGCGCGCGGTCCCGCGCGAGCCAGCGCAGGTGGCGCAGGGCGGCCCTGCCCAGCCGCCCGGCCGTCTCGTGGGCGAGCGGCAGGACCGCCCAAGGCGCCCAGCGCTCAGGGTAGCGCCGGCGCTTGTCCTCCTGTTCTTCCTCCTCCTCATCCTCTTCCTCCTCCTCCTCCTCCTCCTCCTCCTCCTCCTCCTCCTCCTCCTCCTCCTCCTCGTCCTCGTCCTCGTCCTCCTCCTCCTCCTCCTCCTCCTCCTCCTCCTCCTCCTCCTCCTCCTCCTCCTCCTGTGCCTCCTCCTGTTCCTCCTCCCCCTCCCCCTTCCTTCGATGGACCACGGCGACCGCCAGGTCCTCGACCCTGGCGTACCCGCAGGCGTACCCGTACACCACCGCGGCGAGGGTGTCCCACTGCACAGAGCCGTGGAGCGCGGAGAGGCCGACCGCCAGGGCGAAGGGGTACCACCTGTCGGCCGCGCGATCGCCCGCAGAGCGGGGACGGGGCGCCAAGGCGAGGGGCCGGGGCGGAGAGGGGAGGGGGGAGAGCGGAGGGGGCCAGCGCCTCAGCGAGAGCAGCAGCCTAAAAACCCGAGCGGAAACCCGTTTCCCGGGAATCCTGTGTGTAAGAGACCAGTGCGCGGAGGGGGGCCGAATACTTTCCGGACGCCCCCAGGGGGAGAGAGGAGAGCAGTACTCATATTGTGCAAGTGTGGAGGAGGAGGAGGAGGAGGAGGAGGAGGAGGAGGAGGAGGAGTTCTGGGCAGGGAGGGGAGAGGGGGGAGAGAGCCGCGCCTCGCCGAGAGCACCTCTGGGGCTGCCTGGGTCGTCCCGAGCGGCCGCCGAAGCCCCCCCACGCTGCGACCCGAGGGCCGGATGGGCGCCAGGAGGGGCGGGCGGGCCGGGGGGAGGCCGATCGCAGGGGCGAAGGGGCACCGCCCGGCCGCGCCCAGCGCTCGGAGGGGAGCCGGGAGCGAGACGCCGAGGCGAGCAGGAGCGCCGGCGGGCACGCCCGTGCCCAGCTGGGCAGGTCGTGGAAGAGAGGCCGTGGGCCTCGACGGGTGCGGCCGGTGCGGAGGATTCCTAGCTGCGCAGCTCGAGCGCGGGGTGGCGCGATCGCTCGAAGAAAGGAGTGGCGAGGAGGGGGGGGGGGAGCGGAGGGGGGGGGGACGGGGCGGGAGCTGGGAGGCGAAGGGGTACCACCTGTCGGCGACGCGCCCAGGGGGGAAGCTCCATGTGTTCTGGCGTGTGCGTCGCTTCGCGGCGGGCTCTCCGGCCTCGGGGTGCCTTCCAGCAGCTGCGCCTCGCCGAGCACGTTCTGGCGGTGCACGGATCACATCGAGCGGCCGCCGGAGGCGACGAGGGGGCGGACCTGAAGGCTCAGAAGGCCTCCGGCCTTGCGAGAAATTGTCGACAGCCGTCTCCGAAAGCGCATGCGGATCCTCGGGAGGCCCCAGGGCTTCTGGGAAGTCCAAAAGGGCCTTCCGAGAGGGCCCGCCCCTCTCGCTGCACCCGGGAGAGCATGGGGAGGGGAGGACGGGGAGGGAGCTGGGAGCGGAGGGGGGGGGGCGTGGAAAGGGAGCGCTCCCAGCGCAGCTCGCTGTGGCCACCCTCCAGCGCTGTCTCGGCAGCCCTAAACTCTTCGTCCATGAACCCGTTGCAATCCGATCGAGCTGGGCAAAAGAGACGGAGGAGGAGGAGGAGGAGGACCAGCGTAAACCCAAGAGTCGTCAACGATCTTGGAATAAACCCTCCCTCCAAGCTCCCTCTTCAGCCACGGATTAACCTGACTGTTGCGTCTTGACGGTCCTAAGTCGTACCACAACGCCATTCCTGGGACTTCAACACCGAGAATCAACAGAACTGTTGCACCTGCATAATCCTGAATCGTTTCAACAACAAAAAAACGTTTTTGGTACGTTGATGACGGGAATATATGAAACTCTTGCAAGCTTTGTCAACGAATGTGCGCGGCGCTGTGGCGAGAGCCACATTTTGAAAACCACCCGCCCTGAATCCGTGAAACTCTTGCAAACTGTTAAAATTGATGTGTGCCGCGCTAAGGGGAAAACCGCATTTTGAAAACCACTCGCCCTCAATCCGTGAAACCCTCGCAAAATGTTAAGATGAATGTGCGCAGCGCTAAGGCGAGAGCCACATGTTGAAAACCACCAGCATTCCATATGTGAAACGATTGCCAATTGCTAAGCCGCAGGGTGGTGAGGAAGTCTCAGGCGAAACGCCCGGACCGCCCCAAAAAGTGGCCTCGGGGTGCGACAGGGAGCAGTGAAGGAAAAGGAGTGGAGGGAGAGGAGGAAGAGAGGAGGAGGAGGAGGAGGAGGAGGAGGGCGAGAAAAAGGAGGACGAAGAGGAGGAGTAGGAGGAAGAAGAGGAGAAGGAAAAGGAGGAGGGGGAGGAGGAGGAGGAGGAGGAGGAGGAGGAGGAGGAGGAGGAGGAGGAGGCGAGGGACGATGGGGTAGTGCTGAAGGACGCACCCTGTCGGAATCCCACGCTGGGGGGCCTGCGTGCCAACAGAAAAAGGCATCCGCCCACGCGCCGCCACGACGCGCCGCACGAGCGAGGACGAGAGGCCCGCACGCACTCCACGGCAGACGCGCGCGCGCCGCACCAAGAGCGAGGGCCGGGGCGGCCACGGGCGGCGCAGCATCGAACCTGATCTCTACCCCTAAGATCAGCAGGCCCAAGGCGATGACAATCTTGGGGATGCGCCCTCAGAAGCTGAGGGAATCCGTAAGGTCAGCACCGAGGTAAGGCGATGCCAGACCTAGGGATAGGGATACTAGAACCACGCGCGCGCTACGCGCGCGCTTAGGTTCTAGTCGCAGATGAGCCACGGGTGCCGTTGTAAACCCCGCTGTGGCCACAACGACGAGTTCCAGCGTTCTCGGGTCCATGTCATAGAAGCAAAAAACGCGTAGTCTGAACGCGGGGCGCCACGTTCCCGCGCACCTCACAATCTCGCTGCCGCCTTCGTTTGGTTTATCGAACTGCGTTTGTTTCTCCACTTTCATTTCCGCTCTGCCCCGTCGCAACATTCAATGATTTCGCACATCTGCTCAATCTCCCCATGCCCGATCACGCAGACATCTGAAGGTTCCTGATGTTGGGGTTGGCTCGGGGCCTCGTTGCGCGCGCGTGGGAGCGCGTTGTTATTTTCCTCTTCCTTGTGCTCCAAGCTTCTCGTTCACAGCGGTCGTTCAGCTGTCGGATATTTGCAGAGGGCGCGCGCAGATGCCCTCGTCATCTGTGCCCTTCTCTGCAATCAGTTGCTGTCGGGTCCGTCCACGGGAGGGGGGCAACTTCTTTGTGCTGGACGCCAAACCTCATGCCGGCGATAATCGCACCCGTGGGAACAGAAGGCTCGGGGTCACGGGGATGCTCAATGATTTGCCTGGCAAGTCCCATGTGTGGGGTTGCGTGGAGCTCTGACGGGGCCTCTGGCGGTACCTTCTTCGCGCTCTGGCGAGGCCTTTCAGGAGGTGGGGGAGGGGCACGAAACCTAAACTATTGTATGGTATAGCCACACCCCGCTCGCTCGGGCGGGTCCGCCTTGCAAGGGTGGGAGGAGCAAAAGCCGCGTGAAAGAGTATGGTGTAGGGATGTCCTGCTCTCTCTAACGGGGGTTTCCCTGGCGCTCTGGCGGGGCTTGCCCAGGAGGGGAGGGAAGAGCACGAAACCTGAGGAAAACTATGGTATAACCACATCCCGTGCGCTCTAACGGAACTACTTCGGGTGCGGTGGGAAGAGCAAAACGTAACAGGGACTGTATATGCTATAGCAACACCCCTCTCGCTCTACCAGGGCCGCCCTTGAGGGGTGTGACGGGCAAAGCAACTTGTGAAATGATAGGGTATAGCGATGCCCCGCTCGCTCAGGCGGGGCCTGTCTGGCGCTCTGGCGGGGCCGTCCCAGGAGAGGAGGGAGAAGCACGAAAACTGAGGGGTGAGGGGAAGAAGAGGAGAGAGGAGGTAATGGAGGAGGGGGTGGGAGGGAAGGAGGGACAGAAGGGGGAGGCCCGGGCCATCTGGGCCGTCTTCGAGCGCCCTGGGGCCTCCCGCTCCCGCTCTGTGGTCCATTTTGGGCCTATCCTGGGGCCTCTTGGGCCGTCTGGGGCTCCTCGTGTGCAATTTGCAGGTTCTCTGGAGCCGTCTTGGCGCTCTTTTGGGGCGTCTTCGGCGGTCTTGAGGCGGTCTTGAGGGCGTCTTCGACCTTCTTCGAACATTGGAAGCTCGAGGACGCGAGAAAGCGAAAATCATCGAACAAACCAATGCACATCAATGATTTGGGCCTCTTCGGGCTCTCTCGGGACGTCTCTCGGAGCTCTCTTGGGCCCTCTTGGAGGCCTCTTGGACACATGTTCAAACGCTCTCGTGCAGTCTTGGGCTCTCTGGGGGCGCTCTTGGGCCATCTCGGCGCCCTCTTGAACGTCTCTCGGCCCCCTTTGATGTTTTTTGACGCCCTTCGCTGGGCCCGAAACGGCCGGAAAACACATCAGTGCACTTTGGGGGCCCCGGGACCCTAGAACCACGCATGCTCTTCGCGCGCGCTTAACTGGTCGACCGGCGATCTGTCGCCAAGCTATGGGCCAGGAAGAATACAGCGCTACAGCGCCATTGTGCATTATGCTATGAGCGTGGCTGCGGAGCACTTATTTTTCCCCTGCGGCTAGGAGCGACCCTCGCGGCACTCTGCACCACAAAGCATTGCTCCTCCGAGCCCGCGGGGCGCGCGCCGACAACGCGCTCCCCGACCGTCGGCTCGAGGAGCAGCAGGAGGAGGCAAACTGGGCATCGTTTAACCGATCCCTATCCCCACTGGCGTGGCCTGGGACCTGCTGGTCGATTTACCCCTTAGATGCAAATGCAGGTCAACATCATATGTTTCCTTCTGCCCCTTCCTTATTCCTCCTCCTCCTCCGCTCTCATCGACCGGTCGACCGGTGATCTGTCACCAAGCTATGGGCCAGGAAAAATGCAGCGCTACAGCGCCATGTTGCACTATGCTATGGAACGCCATGATATGCCATGCTACGCTAAAGCGCAATGCCACTATGCAGTATACAATGCAATAACATGAGATACCGTACAGTGCGCATTGCATGCCATGCCATGCTGTGCTGTGAAATGCTATGGTAATATGTTGGATGATACGCTGAGCCATATCATGCGATGTTTCCTATGAAGAACGATGCTACCGCGTTACACGGTATGCACAGACACGGCATACCGTGCTATTCAATGCAATGCAATGCTATGCCATGTTATGAACTGCTAGGCTAAAATAAACAGGACGACAGTAAGAGCAACAACGGGGGTGTGATATTTGTATGGTCACGGTTTACTCTTGCGCAGAGCAGTACGGTGCTGTTCTAGTAATGTATGCGCATTGGAATGCCATAGTACGCCACGGTGGGTCATGAGATGCCATGCCATGCTGGGCAATGTTACGTCGTGACTTGCAGTGTGAGGCTCAGCTAAACACTGCTATGGAATGCAATACGATGGTATGCTGAACCATACTGTGATATGCATTGACACGGTTAGCTATGTCGTGCTGTGCCGTGCCATGCCATGTCATGCAACGCTGCGATGCCACGATAGGCTAGGCGGTCCCTTGCTATGCACCGGTATGTTTTGGAGGCCGTTTGGGGTGCTCTTGGGGCCTCTGTTGCGGCCTCTTTGGGGCCTCTGGGGCCTCGTGGGGCACCTAGGGGGCCTCTGGGGGGCCTCTTGGGCTCTGTTGGGGGCCTCTTGGGGCCTCCTGGAGGCCTCTTGGGGCGGAAGGCTCGAATTGTCGGTTCGTGTTCCCCCTCTTGAGCCCCTCTTGGGGCCGTCTTGGGGCCCTCTTGGGCGATCTTGAGCGCCTCGTGGGCCGTCTTGGGGGGCGCGCTTGGGCCGTCTTGGGGCTCTCTTGCGCCGTCGTGGCGCCCTTTTTGGGTGTCTCTTGGGCCGCGTTGAGCTGATTTCTGGGCCCTCGTGGGCTGTCTTGGACAGTCGGAAACACGAAACAGCGAGAACACGAAAAACCGTCAAAAACCATCGAAAATAACACTTTGTTCGCCTCCTGAGTGCCTCGTGGGAGTCCTTTTGAGAGCATCTTGGCCGTCTTGAAGCACTCTCGGGCTGTCTTTAAGCCATGTTGGACCAATTCTGAAACGCTCTTGTGCGGTCTTGGGCTCTCTTAAAGCGTTCTTGGGCCATCTTGGCGCCCTCTTGCCCCCTTTGACGTTGTTTGGCGCCCCCCGCCGAGCCCGAAACGGCCAGAAGATAGATCAGTGCACTTTGGGGTGCCCGGGACCCTATCCATTATATTTATATATATATATATATATATAGAGAGAGAGATAGAAAAAAAAAAAAAACAAAAAAAAAAAAAAAAAAAAAAAAAAAAAAAAAAAAAAAAAAAAAAAAAAAAAAAAACATCGCGCACGCTTCGCGCGCGCTCAAGATCTAGCTAGGCTTGATCGGCCAACTCATGTAATCTCATTTTGGTCGCTTCCTGCGTCCAGGGACTCCCTTGGAGGCCATGCGCAAGACTCGGAATCGTATAGAAGGGAAATGCGGAAACGCAGAAATCATTAATTCATTTCCTTTCGGTATTCAACGATCTGGGGCCCTCAAATGGTTTTTTTTGGGAGGTGACGGGGTCTGAATTGTGGTGTGTTGTGCGAGAGTAGACCGGGGGCCAAACTTGAAAAACAAGAAAAAGGAATTGTGGGATGTCCATTTTTTCCAATTCCTCGGCGTCGTTCGGCGCTGTGTTTTGTTTGTGCCTCGTGGGTTTTGTTAGCCCGGCTCCTCAGGGGTGTTGGTTCTTCCGGACCCCCTGGGGGTTCTGGAGGCCTCCTGTAGGCCTGGAGAGCCGTGTCTCGGGCTGCGCGGGAGCGTGTTGGGCCGTTCTTTACGCTCTGGGGGCTCCTTAGGGTCGTCTTGGGCTGTCTTTGGGCGTCTTGGGGGTCCCCCGGGAAGCCGGGAGGCGCGGTACTGGCCAAATGTCAGGGGATGTGCGGGTTCTCCGAGTCAGAGTCCCACTACATATACATATATATATATATATATTGGAGAAAAAACACAAACAAAAACAACAAAAAAGAGACAGAGAGAACAAAAACAAAAAAAACACAAAAAACTGGAATTCTGGGAATTCCCTTTTTTCCCAACCCTCCTTGTGTTGGGTACTCGTTTTGAATAGAGCACTGTGGTATCCACCTCCCGCCCTCTCCTCCTTCTTCTCTCCTGTGTTCGCGGTGCCCTGCTGGGCTGCGATATGCGCAACTGTCGCCACTTTCGTGGGCTCCTGGGAGGCCCAGCGGAGGTACGTCCTACGCGGACCACTTTGAGGCCTCCCTGTCCCCTGCGGGGCTGCGATCTGCGCAACTGTCGCCACTTTCGTGGGTTCCTGGGAGGCCCAGCGGAGGTACGTCCTACGCGGACCACTTTGAGGCCTCCCTGTCCCCTGCGGGGCTGCGATCTGGCAACTGTCGCCACTTTCGTAAGTTCCTGGGAGGCCCAGCAGAGGTACGTCCTACGCGGACCACTTTGAGGCCTCCCTGTCCCCTGCGGGCGCACTTGTCGCACCTGTCGCACCTGGCGCCCCCTGGCGCAGTGGACGCCCAAAAGGCAAACACGCCAAAAATATCAGTTTCCCCAAAGGAAATCTACGATTTTTGCTTATTGGGATCCCCGATCCTCATCGTTCGCACGCCATGTTCCGGAGGAGCGTTCCTGGAGCACGGGGCGCCAGAGGCCCCCCCGCTCTCCCCCCCTCCCTGACTATCCTGCCGAGGAACTCTTGGGTTGCGCAAGGCCGGTCTCGCGGGCTCCCTGGGGCTTCCCGGGCCCGCCCAGGGCTGTTTGGGAACGGACCTGGAGGCGCGCTGGGCCCCATTAGAGCGTCGGAAAGCCGAACAGACAAGAAGGCCAAGATCCTCCAATTCCTGAGTAAAACGAACGATTTTGGCCTGTTGGGACCCTCTTGGGGGGTGCTCCTGGAGGCGTCCTGAGCCATGTTTGAAGCCTCTTGGGAGCTATCTGAAGCCCCCTGGGGCTCTCTTGAAGCGGAAGCCCTGGGTTTTCCGAGCGCGGTCCGTCTCTTGGACACCTTTCGGGCCTGTTTGGGGCCCTCGTGGGCGGCCCTGGGCGCTTCTTGGGCCAGCCTTGGGCCCTCTGGGACCGCCTCGGGGCGGCCTTGGGCGCTTCTGGAGCTGTTTGGGAGCGGTCTCGGAGGTCTCCTGGGCCGCCTAGGAGCGTCGGACAGCCGCCGAGATCAGAAGGCCAACCCTCCAAGACTATTGAAAAAATCAATGTTTGGCCTGCTGGGGCCCTCGTGGGAGTGCTTTTGGAAGCGTTTGGAGCCATGTTGGAGGACTCTTGGGGGCCGCCTGGGGCCTCCCGGGTCACGCAGGGAAGGGGGCACGGGGAAGAAGGCCAGAGAGTGCTGAAGGATACAAATACTGGAACCCTCTTGTGATTTTGTGGGGGGCCTCGTCCGGCCGCTCGCTGGGAGTTTGACGTAGCTTCTCGGGAGCCTCTGAACCTGTCGGGGGCCTCCTGGAAGCAGGTTCGAAGCATTTTGGGGGCCGATTTGGGGCTTCTCGGAGCCTCCTTTGGGCCTCTTGGGGGTCTCCTGGGGCCTCTTGAGGGGCCTCCTTGGGGCCTCCTGGCGGCCTCTTGGGGCGGAAGGCTCGAGCTTGCGGTTCGTGGTCCCCCTCTGGGCCCCCTCTTGGGCCCGTCTTGGGGCCCTCTTGGGCCATCTTGGGCGCCTCTTGGGCCGTCTTGGGGCCCTCTTGGGCTGTCCTGGGGCCCTCTTGGAAGCTTCTTGGGCCGTCTTGGGGCGGTCTTGGGCGCCTCTTGGGCCGTCTTGGACGCGGCGAAAGCCCAAGAGGCGAACATGCGAAAAATATACGTTTTCCCATAGGAATGGCACGATTTTTGCTTCTTGGGCCTCTCTTGGGCTGCCTCTCGGAGCGTCTTGGAGGCTTCTGGGACCTTCTTGGTGTCATGACAGGCGTCTTGGAAGGCATCTGGAGCCATCGGAGCGCGTTCCGAAGCCGCCTGCGAACGATCTTGGACGGCGTCCGGCGGTCCGACGAGCCTCCGGGCCCCCCGGAGCCCACATTTGTGGTCGGGGTCCCGGCCCCGGGCCGCCGGACCCGGTGCGCCGTTATATGTATATGTTTCCAGCTGGAAACCTCCGACGCCGCGGAGAAGCCACCCGCCGGCGAAGGGGTGCCCCCCAGGACGGGTGGCGTGGCAAGCGAGATGGGGCTGGGGACCCCGAGCGAGGTGGTGGGGCAACTGGTGAGGAGCCCAACTCTGTGCACTGACGCTTTTTGCCGGCCCCGCACTGCCCCATTCGCGCAGGAAGAGCGGGTCCTGGTGCACAAGGGACCCCGGTGCACACACTGGCCGTTGTCCCGCGGGGAACGGAAACCAAAAGTATACACCACACCACCCCGACGTCGCTCCCGACCCTCAAGAGTCCTGAGATTGAAGAGCAGCCCGCCACTGATAGTGTAGATGTTCCAGTGTCCGAACTGGGGGCATCCTGGAGAACGCCCTACCCGGCACACCACCCACCCCAGAGGACGCCCCCAGGGCGCCCCCAGGATCCCCCCAGCACCCCAGCGAGGAACCCCCCAGGACCCCCCCAGGACGCCCCCAGGGCGCCCCTAGGCCCACCCCAGCGAGGAGGGGCTCCCCAGGGCGCCCCCAGGACCCCCCCCCAACAGAAGGAAGGGCCTGCATGCTGTCTTTTCTGTCGCGTTAAATCCATGTGTCCGAGCGGGCACAAAATACCTTCAAACTGGCATCGTCGAGGAGCAGTGAGGATCCTCGCAAAGGAATGCAAGAGTCCGCCGATCCAGCCATCAGTGTCGAAAACATCACAGCCTGCCTGGGGCGACCATGAAGACACCTGTCCACCCAGACCGACATTCCCAGACAGCGCCATCGAGACCTGCCTAGCCAGCGCATCAAATGGCTGATCGCCCCCACCCCCTCTTCCCTTCCAATCCCTCGCTTCCTCCCCAGCGGGTCAAACGACACTAACTACCCGTCCGACGCGCCATTGCCGTCCGGAAAGCAGAATACATACTCGGACCTTTGCACTCCCAAAAGCGTCAAACACCCGATCGAGCGGATGGCAAGAGTTGAAATTTTGGTGGTGTACGAACTTGTGCGCAATCTGCCCCCACCCCTCGTCGAGTGTTGGCGCCCGACTTAGCGGGCGATTATAAAATACGCTACCAGAATTAGCGACTCGGAGAGAGGCCGATCGCAACAAGACGCAGACCCGGCACTCGGATAACCCAAGGCAGGAAGAACTGGCACGCATTCGCGCAAGCTCATTCGTGCACGCTCGTACGTGAAAGCTGGCACGAGCATTCGGGATGCTCTCAAGCTCAATCGTGCAAGCTGGCAAGATGGCAACAGGGGCTTAGCTGACATCGCCGAATGAAGGTCGCTCAGAGTCCGCAGGTCAACTAATGCAGCGCAGATCTCGTCGGCACACAGCACAGGACTGTACTTTCCACCTGCACATTGAAGAGAGCAGCCAACTCTGCAAACATCCCTCATGGAATGAATGGTTACACGAAGTGGTTTTGACGCTGTCTCCAGACTCCAAGTCGCACAAGCATATTGAGCAAGCAACGGGATTCCCAGACTCGAAGTTGCCGTCCGCGCCTTCATCCGACCACGTGGAGGCGGTGAGACCACCCAAGACCTTGGCCACCGCCAATTTGGCCACCTCCGGATCGTCTTCTTCCGTCTCGGTCACCTCGTGGGCCACCAGATGCATGTGCATGCCGATGGGGATGAAAATGCAGCACCACGCCATCTCAGGGATTGCACAAGACCCTTGGAAGGCCATCACCATGGCCACCCTCGCCACGGACAGGAGGACCGCGACAGCAGTCAAGCCACGAATCAAGAGTTGCAGGCGCCAGCATCGGCTCGCATGTCCCGCGATCCCGCACGAGATGGCCGCGAGGAGCGCGACCATCACCCAGTCTGATAGCCCAACCAGATGCTGGCGCGGGCAGCGCAGAGCAGTCGCTTCGAGCCAGGGCTTAACCACCAGGATGTAGACGTAGATCGCGGCATTGAGGCCGACGCCGATGGCCACAGAACGTCGCCAGGCAGCCCGCACGGAGGGAGTGCCCACGACGCCGCCGACGCCTCCTGGGCCTGCGCCTGTCACGCCGGCCTCGTGGGCCGTGCGCATCCTGGGCCCACTCGCGCGAGGAGCGATAGGCCGGCAAGGCGCGCGCACACCTGGGCCGCCTGCCAGCGCATCTCAAGCCAGAACCGCCTGTGCCCAAATGACTACGGGGGGATCTGCGTGCCGTCTTGGGGCCCTCGGGGTTCTCTTGGGCAGTCATGCGTTCCTTCGGGTGTCCTTTTTAGGTCATCTTGGAGGCCCTCTTGGGGGTCCCTTGGGTCGTCTTAGCCCCATCTTGGGCCCTCGTGGGGCTCTTTTGTGCCGTCCAGGAGCGAGCTCGGAGGTGGTGCCTTGGGGGCACGGTTCCCGAAACCCACTCGAGGTCCTCCTCTTTGACCCCTGTCAGGGGCGCTCTTGGGTGCTTCTCGGGCCGTCTTTTGGGGCATCTTCGACTGTCTTGGGGCCCTCTGATCAATCTTGACGCCCTCTTGGAGCCTTGTCTGGCAGTTCACTGGCGATCGTGGCATACTCTTGGGCAGCCCAAAACTTCCTGAAATCCAGCATTGCGGGCATGCTGACATCCTTAAAGAACCTGAAGAAAATCGTTGTTGTTCGCCTCTTGGGGCCATCTTGGGGGTCCTCTTGGGAGGCTCTTGGGGCGTCTTGGAACATCTTGGGCCGTCCTGAGCCTGCCTTCGGCAGTCCTGGAATGGTCTTGGGCCGCTTTGGGGTTCTCTTAGGTCGCTTTGGGCTGGCCCCGTGGCGTCCTGGCAGGTGAGCCCAGCATCGAATCGACAAGTCGGATCGGCGATCGAAGTGAATCCGATCGGGGGAAAGCGGCAGCCGAGTCGGAAGAAGTCGAATCGGTGGAGATTGGCAAGCCAGTAGGCCTCCGTGGAGAAATCGGAAATCACATCGGAACCCGGCGTCAAGTCGGATCGGAATCGGAATCGATCGGAATCGGCTCGACTTGGATCGGAAGAGTCAAAAGGAGCCCTGTCCTGGGCGCGCATCATCCCCCCCCGCCCCCCCCCCTTCCCCCGTTTGGCCGCCGAGCACGCCCCCCGCCCCCACCCGAAGGCCGGGTCCCCCCCCCCCATGGAGGGTACAGAGGTCCGGCCTCTGGATCCCTTGCCCGTCTGCTCCGTGCTAGATACACATATACGTCGTTCACTTCTAATCGTGCTCATTTCTTAAAAAAAAAATCTGCTCGTTTCTGATTGTTCCTGGCCCCCGAGTGGCCAGGAGGAGGCCCAGGATAGAACAATTGGGAATGAAAGGACCTCAGCCCCCAACAAACATCAAGGAATTCTCGAAGAACTAGAGAAAGGAACAATGTGTACACCCGGTGGGACGAGAACGGGAAGCGCCGCTTGAGTCTAATGGGCGCAGTGGGCGAAGAAGAAGAAGAACGATAATAAGGTGAGGCCGGCCATTTTTCAGAACTCCTCCAGCGTGGGTGCCCGGTGCAATGCGTAGCCATGAATCAGGTT